GAAGGCCAGGGCAAAATGTGAATTCACAGTATGGAAAGCAGAATGTGAATTCACATCTGGGAAAAAAGGACCATGTGAACTCACACTATGGAGAAAAATGATATGAACTTTATCGTGTGTGGGATTCTTAAAGAAGGGGCCAGAATGTGAATTCACACCCTGGGGAAAAAAGGAAGATGTGAATTCACAGATTGGAAAAGGACAATGTGAATTCACATTTTGGGAGAAACGCGGGACCCATTCCAAATCTGTCTTGGGGGTCGAGAAGTCATCGTTTGGGGACATACGCGATCATCAATCGCACAATCAAGACACACTTGCACTCCACTTCGCCGCCCCACGCGCAATATGCAAGAGCGCCCGCACGCATGAACGATAATGGATGGACGGCGCGTGTGCCCGCGCGGGCAACACGCGGGCACGAACGACTGGCCCTCAATGACCGCCAACATTGGATGCCAATCGTACCCGATCACATACATGAGCGATACATTGAGCACACATGGGCCATTCAGCCCTCATTGAAGACCCCCTGTTGCAGACCCCCTCTTTCACCCTCCAACCCCCCCTCGGAAAACCCGGGGGGGTCACTACCGGTTCCACCCCCCCCAGAAAACCAGAGGATGGTCACTACCGGTTCGAACCCCCCCACCCCCCTCCAGAAAACCAAGGGGGGTTACTACCGGTTCGAACCCCCCCCCCGTCGAAAACCGGGGGTGGTCACTTCCAGTTCGAACCCCCCCCCTCCCCCTCGAAAACCGAAGGGGGTCACTACAGGTTCGAACCCCCACCCTCCCTCCTCCTCGAAAACCGGGGGCGGTCACCACCAGTTCGAACCCCTCCCCCCCCCTCACCGCCAGCAAACGACTCCGGGTCCCTACGACCGTCCGCACCACACCCCCCACTGTTCTTAGCACCACTGTCCTCACCACCACTGTCCCCACTGCTTCCACCACCGTCCCTGCTGTCCCTACCAGTGCCCCCACCACTGTCGCACTGTCCCCACTGTCCCTACCACTGTTCCCACCACGGTTCCACTCTCCCCACCTTCTCCACGGCCCCAACCACTGCCCGACTATCCCCACTGTCCCCACTGTCCCGCTGTCTCCTCCGCTGTCCCACTGAGCTGTCCCACTGTTCCCACCACTGTCCCCGCTGTCCCCACCACTGTCCCCACTGTACCTGCCCCATTGTCCCACCGCCGTCCTGCCACCGCCCTCACCACTGTCCCCACCACCACTGTACCCACTGTCCCACTGTTTCACCACATTCCCACTGTCCCACACACTGTCCCCACCACCACCGTCCCCACCACTGTTCCCCACCACTGTCCCACTGTCCCCACTGTTCCACCATTGTCCCCGCTGTCCCCACCAGTGCCCCACCAGTGCGTCAATTCCCCACTCTCCCCACCATTGTCCCACCACGGTCCCACTCTCCCCACTTTCCCCACGGTCCCCATCACTGTCCCACTGTCCCCACTGTACCCACTATTGTCCCACTGTCCCCGCCGCTGTCCCACTGTGCTGTCCCACCGTCCCCACTGTCCCCACCACTTTCCCCACCGTGCTTCTGTCCCACCACTGTCCTCACCACACCCTCACCACCCCACCACTGTCCCCACCACTACGTCCCCACCACTGTCCCACTGTCCCCACGGTCCCGCTGTCCCACACCACTGTCCCCACCACCACCGTCCCCACCACTGTCCGCACCCCCCCCCCGCTTTTCGAGGGGGGGGGGGGTCGAAACGGTAGTGACCCCCCCCCGTTTTCGACGGGGGGGGGGTTCGAACCGGTAGTGACCACCCCCCCTTTTCATGATTGATGGACTGGGGGGGGTCGAACCGGTAGTGACCCCCCCCGGTTTTCCGGAGGGGGGGGGTTCGAACCGGTAGTGACTCCCCCCGGTTTTCCGCCAGCAGCGGTAGAACACGCTCTTTCTTATGCATGTGTCTGTGTGTTTGTGTCTGTGTGTCTGGATGTATGTGTGTTTGTGTGTTGTGTGTTGTGTGTTGCGTGTTGTGTGTTGTGTGTTGTGTGTTGTGTGTTGTGTGTTGTGTGTTGTGTGTTGTGTGCATGTGTGTTTGTGTGTTTGTGTATGTTGTGTTGTGTGTGTTGTGTCGTGTGTGTTATGCATTGTGTGTTGTGTGTTGCGTGCTGTGCGTGTTGTGTGGTGTATCTGTGTGTTATGTGCGTCTGTGTGTGCCTGTGTGTGTCTGTGTGCGATTGTGCGCGCGGTTGTGTGCGATTGTGTGTGCGATTGTGTGTGAGCTTGTGTGCGGGCGTGCTTGCGTGCGTGCGTGCGTGCGTGTGTTTGCGCACGTGCGTGCGCGCGTGCGTGCCTGCCTGTGTGTGTGTGCGTGCGTGCGTGTCTGTGTGCGTTTGTGTGTGTGTGTGTTGTGGCTCGCTCGCCGCGCGCACGGCAGCCGCGCCTGCGTCGGCCGCCTCTGCGCGCGCCGCCGCCCGCGCGGCATCCACGCCCGCCCGCAGGCTCTGCAGCTCGGCCCGCGCGCCGCCGAGCTCGCCTCGGAGGGGAAGGGGCACGGGGGCCACGACCGGGACGGCACGCGGAAGCGTCGCGTCCGTCTTGGCCACCGCCCGTCCTGGTCTGATACTCGGGCTGCAGTCGAAAACCCAGTTTTTTCTGTTTTGTTTTAGTTGCTTGTCTTAGTTGTTTATGTTTTTATTCTTTATTGTTTTAAATAATTACCCTGGCGACGTACCCAACCCCTGCGCAACAGCGGGGCGCAAATAGTTTTGGATACTTTATAAGGGGGCGATGACGGAGCGAGGGTTACATATGTCTGCAGACGGAATTCGGGAGACTCGCAGGACACTGGCTACAGGAAAAGGGCTTGATAAAGCTGATGATTTACAATTCCTGAGCACTCCTAGCCACTTCGAAAACGGGGATCACAGCAGGCCTCGAAAGTGGCGACAGGTTCACAGATCGCAGCCCCGCAGGGATGGCGAGGTCTCATTTGAATCTGCCCGTGGCCCTCACTGTGCTGGGCCCCCCAGCAGGCCTCGAAAATGGCGGCAGTTTCGCAGATCGCAGCCCCCCAGGGATGGCGAGGTCTAATTTGAATCCGCGCGTCCCTCACTGTGCTGGGCCCCCCAGCAGGCCTCGAAAATGGCGACAGTTTCGCAGATCGCAGCCCCCCAGGGATGGCGAGGTCTCCTGGCCCTCCTCTGGGCTCGAAAATGGCGACAGTCGCAGATCGCAGATCCTGGCTGTGTGTTGGCCAGCGGCCTCGAAAATGCCAGCTCGCAGCCCCCCAGGGATGGCCTCCAGGCGGGCAATCCTCGAGATCCATGAGAAGAGCAAGGCGTAGAAGACGAAGTTGTTGGCTCCCAAGGCGCCCCCAGAAAGCTGGGATTGTTTCGTTGTGCTCAACAGGCTCCCAGGACGACCCGACGGGCCCCCGAGACGCCCCCAAAGAGGCCCCTGAGACGGCCCAGCAGGCCCCCATGAAGCCATTCAACCGCCCTTTCAGGAGCACCCCCCACAGCTACAAGAAACCCCCAATAATGCAGGAGAGGGAGATGGAAGCGGAAAGAAGCGAGGGAACGGTAGAGCTAGAAGGAGCAGCGTGATGACGATCCTGCTATACGGAAGGAACGCCACGTACATCACACACACACACGCACTGACGATCAGTGAGCATGGCAAGCAGAGATGCGAATGGTAGAGCACAGCTGAGAGAAGCTACAAAGTCCAAGGTGCGGGTGTGCCGCGAAGATACCCTGCCAACCCCCTGAGGAGGCATCTGGCGCATAGCCCTCGCAACAAGTCTAATACTTACATGCAAAACATATATACACACACCACTGCGGAGACAATATCATCCCACCACCTGTTTCTGAATATTCAGATTCAAGGAGCCTGCCAGACTTGAGCGTCCATCATTACCACTGCCAGCCGTGACTTTCAAAAGAGTCCTCCCCGGCGCGTTCCCTCTGCAGACCCTCAGAAGCGGGCCCCCTCCTCCTCCTCCTCCTCCTCCTCCTCATCATCCTCCTCCTCCTCCTCCTCCTCCTCCTCCTCCTCCTCCTTCTCCTCCTCCTCCTCCTTCTCCCTCTCCTCCTCCTCTCCTCCTCCTCCCTCCTCCTCGTCCCTCGTCCTCTCCTCACCCTCCTCCTCCTCCTCCTCCTCCTCCTCCCTCCTCCTCCTCCTCCTCCTCCTCCTCCTCCTCCTCCGCCTCCGCCTCCGCCTCCTCCTCCTCCTCCTCCTCCTCCCTCCTCCTCCTCCTCCTCCTGATCCTCGTTTCCCTCCCTCTCCCACCTCTCCTCGTCCTGTTTCCTCCTTGTCTCCCTCTCACTTCTTCCCGTCCTCCCTCCCTTCTCCGCCCTCCTCCTCCCTCCTCCCCCCATACCCCCTCCGCCAACACCTCCTGCACTCCGATGATGATGCGTGCTCTCTACCTGCTGCTGGGGAGAAAAGGTCCGCGGGCAGTTGCCCACACCCGCTCTGAGCATGTTGGTTAAGCCTCCTCGAGACTAAAGCTACGGACCGCTGTTCTCCAGTGCTCTCCCCCTCCCCCCTCCTCCGACATCTCATCCATCCTCCATCCTCTCTCCTTCCTCCTCCCTCCTCTGTCCTCCTCCTCCCCCCTCCCCCTCCTGCCTCCTCCTTCCTCCCTTCTCCTCCCTCCTCCCTCCTCTCTCCTCCCTCCTCCTCCCTCCTCCCCCCTCCTCCCTCCCCCATCTGCCGACACCTGATGCACGCCTCTACGCCTCAACGGCCGCTCCACGAGTTCTAGCTGCCGAGGAGGCAAGAGGGCACCAGCGGGCATTTGGGCGGGGGGCTCTCTACTTGCAGGCGCCCGCTCACGACAATTGGAGGCTCTCCCATCCTGCTCTTCCTCCTCCTCCTCCTCCTGCTCCTGCTCCTGCTCCTCCTCATCCTCCTCCTCCTCCTCCTCCTCCTGGGGCAACTCCTCCTCGGCGCAAGCGATGCATCCCGAGACGACAAGATGCCCGCACTGCACATCACCCTCACCGATGGAGGGGCACGGGCACGACCGCCTCCGCCTTCGGCGCGGACGGATTCTTGCCCTGCTTCAAGAGGCGCAGTGACCTCTTCTTCCATTCACCGACAGTGCGTGCCGCACACCTCTCAGCTAGGTCTTTGACCTGCTGCTGGGCGTACACGCCGCACGCCGAGCACCACAAGACTGGCCCATTGGCCCAAAGACGGTGGGTGGGGTGGGCTTTCTGAAAGACGACGGGGATCCCAGGGCACGGCAGCTGCACCAGCCGAGAGCGCGCGACCCGCCCGATCCCACAGACACAGCATCCCCACCCACCAGGGACCTGTGATATTTTGCGACCCTTATCATCTGGAACTATTTCAAGCAGGGGGGCCTCTGAATTAACATGGGTCCTCTGCCTACGCTCCTTGATGGCCTCCACGTCTGGGTACCCTAACTTGTGCACATGCTTCAACACCTCAGTCAGGAACCTGGCCACCAGGGTCACTTGATCATGATGGAATCTGATCCTGTCACGGACGTGGAAATTCATCGGGTGCGCCTTGGCACCCTTCTTGGCCCACTCGTCTGCGAGCCTGTTCCCATGGAAAAAATGAGGCGGTACTCCATGGTTGAATGCCGCACGCCGCGACTGGTGCGCAGCAATCTTGACTACCTGGACGTTCTCTCTCCCGACATCGACGACCCTCCTCCAGATCTGTCTCCAGAGCTCCGCATACGCCTTATTTGGGTGAGTAGTGCCTGCCTCCCCAGCCTCCCACCCCTCGACGACCATCTGACAGTCCGTACAAATCGTGATGGTGGGGCCCATGAGCGACAGGGCCATAAAAAAGGCGAAAAGCTCTGCACTGGGAACGTCCTGCACTGGAAGCGGTGACGGCCCGCACGCAATGGCCTCCACCTCCAGCATAGAAGAAACTGATGCTACTGCCCATCCTGCTCTTACCAACCATCGGTAGTCATTGTCGTACCCTGAACCATCAACACACACATATGGCCCCAGGGTTCCATCACGGTGAGGAGGATGGGCCCACTTAAATTCGGCTCCATGCAAAATCTTCGGGATGGACTCGCGGTCGCTGGGCACCAAAGCTCTCGTCCATCTAAGATCTGCCTGGGCGTTGATCCCTTGCTGCAGCAAGCGTCCCCCTGGGTCGAGATCACGCCGTAAAAGCCAGGAGCCGTCACAGCCCCATAACCTGTGGTGCACAGACCCTTCACGGGCCTTGCACCATCTGCAAAACGGGTCCAAGCTGTATCGCTGCTTGAACAGATCTTTCTGCGTCCAGAGGCCTCCAGAAACCTGAGCAATAAGTAGGCTGATCCCAAGATGGTCCCCTCTCTTTCTCTGCTCTGCGATAACGCCTCTGATCGGTTCCAGGAAAGGCTCCCAAGACAGGTCGTAAAACTCGCTAACCTTCTTTAAACTGAGCTGCTCGGTGGTGTCGTCTACGAGGGCCTTGACCGTACGAGGACCCAACTCGCGTAAGTCCAGACGGAGCCCCGACGAAGCGACCCAACTACACCAGGAGGTCCCTGTCCAGCCCAGCCTATTCAGCGTCTGTACCACCGCTCCAGCTGGGCCTATGACTCCACTCCAGCCTCGAGCAGCATCTCTCTTGGCCTTGTCAAAGGCCGTCTGCATCTGTGCCTCCGATGACCACTGCAAAAATATTGCCTTGCACCACATCATGAGCGGCAAGGCGTTCGCCAGGAACGACGGGTCAACCTGCGGCACCTCTGCCAGCAAAAACTGCACTGCCCTGCACCTTCCTTTGGCTGGGCCAAAAAGCGCAGCTGCCGTCGTGGCACGCTGCTTCTGGAGTGCGGTGTTGGACATCCCCACCACCCCCACCCCATACATCGCAGCAGGCGTACCTCCTCCTCTGAAGACCTGCTGAATCGGTTTTTTCGAGAGTCGGAACGCTCGATATCGTCGCACTCTGCCTCGCACAATGGTGATTCTTTTATTCGTCACCTGCCTGCCCTTGTTGAAGGCCAACTTAAAGTCTACGCCCAGGTTCTTGGCCGCGGGCACATACTTGAAACTGAACTCTCTCAAACTATGCTGCAGAGAACGGCCCACTTTGATGTCGGATGCCACTAGAATACATTTCTTCCTGGACACCTTCATCTCCAAGGCCTCCAAACCCCGACAAAACTGCAACGTTCCCGACACCAGTGCTTTCTTCACGAAACGCTCTGACCCCAACGCTTGGATGGTGGAATCGTCGACCATGAGCGCCAGCCCAAGACGGGGCCATCTCGACATAAACTCGTCACAAACATCTTTAAGCACTATCTTCAACAACGTCGTCGCGAACGAACACCCCGCGACTATGCTGCTGTTGACTGCGAAAGGGAGGGACAGGGCCTCGCCCACCTTGATGCTGCGAGGCCCACCATAAACTAAGAGGAGCACTCGTATGCGTCTGATACTAAATCCATGCCGATGGCACGAACGAAGCAAGAGCTGGTGCGTCACTCTCTCATACGCCTTCTCGAGATCAATCAGCGTGCAGGCACTCAAAAACTTGCTGGCGATAGCCGCCTCATTGTTAATCGCTTGCCTCCATACCGCCATCTCACAGCTCCGTCCCTTCCCTCCGTACATGTACTCCTTGTGGTTCGCCTCCTCCCATCTCTCCGCCTCCCTATGTCGCAATCTCCCCAGAACGCGCACTGGTGTGGGCAAAATACCAATAGGTCGCCGCCCACCTTCTGGTTTCTGGAGGAAAGGGAGGATGAGCAGCGCGATCTGCTCAGGAAGACAAACGAACTTCTCCCACATGTGCAGCAGGAGACCAAATACCCGAAGGCCTTCGTCACTCAGTGACTTCAAAAGTGCAGGCGGCCACCTGCAAGCCCCAACTGCCGTGCGCCTTTTAAACTTCCCAAGAACTCGGCGTAACTCCTGGGGCTCTGGTGGCTCTGGAGGGTCATCCATGGGTAACGACTGCAGAAACTCGGCCTCTGGCTCCTTCAGGTCACCATACCTCCAAATACCCTTCCATTCACTTTCGAGGGCCTCTATCTGGTCCATCGCTCCTCCTGGGGTTCCGTCAGGGCCTGGCTCATCTGGGATCCATTCATTCGGGACCTTCACCCACCTGTGAACCATACTCCCCCCGTTTGACACCGCCTCTGAAGCCCAAGATCTCCACTTCTTTTGACGCAGCCTGACCCAAGAAGCCTCCTCAGACTGGATCAGCTTGCTCAAATCGAACAAGGCGTCCCTGATAGAGTCCGCCTCGTATCCTCTGAAACTAAAATGACATGCACGCCACTCCCGCCAGCCAGAAGCGTGCCAGAGTACCTCGGGAGCCTTCTGGAGCTTTCGGTTGATTTCACATACCTGCATGTCATCGTCGTCGTATCCCTTACGCTTGAGGTGCCCCAACTCTTCAAGGCGTGTGTGGAACTTCCGCATCGCTCTAGACACTGGCGACCCGAGAGGATGTGGCCCGCCAACCTTGACAATGGCTGGCTTATACACGTACTTAAACTTGTCGCCTCTGCCGAAAAAGTTCCCCTTGGAGCCCGACAGCTCCAGCTGGTGCGTGTCCGCGAGCTCTAGCTCGGCTGCCTGACAAAATGATGCATAAGCCTGCGAGACCTGAGCTTGCGTGACTGCTGGTTCACGAACCAACTGCTCAACCTGAATCTGGATGCCTTCCCACCATCCTGGTGGGGCTGGCGCTGGGCCGATCGGAAGATCAGGGAACCTCTTGGGTGTCCACAAATATCTGATCTGACCCAGATGAGTGCTAGTCCTGATCGACATTCTGATGGGGTAGTGGGTGGACAACTCGGACCCTTCCAATCGATCGCAGCGCCAAACACAGGGCACTAAGCTCGCCGACACAATGAAGAAGTCAATCTCACGCCAATCCTTGCCCACTCTGCACGTAGGCTTGCCAGTCAGAATTATGACCCCGTCGATTTTCTCAAGTAAACCAGAGCCTCTCACCTCAGATTCCAGAGCGTTGAAGTCGCCGCCAATGACGAACGGCTTTCCCATGGAGAACAGAAACTCCCCAACCTGGAAAAGAATGCGACGGCCCTCGGCACCTACACCGTCCCCGCTCGGGAGGTAAACACTGGCAGCGTGGAAACCTCCCGCGACACAACCGCCGACCCAAGCCACGACGGCCCTGGAATGGGGTCGCGGCTCCAAGGGATTGCTGCCCATGCCTACCCCCTTGCGGACGGCCAAACCTACCCCTGCTGATAAACCTTCAGACTGGGTCACATCACAGGCCCCAAAACGAACACTCCATCCTACCTTGGCCAAAGTGTTCGACGCCTGAGCGGCGTCGCCTACCTTGACCTTCGTCTCTTGAAGGAAACAAGCCTTCGACTGACATTCGGCCTCTAAAAAAGACTGGCACCGTGGCCAGCTTGTGACGTTAGCTGAGACAATATCCCAACTCAGGCCGTCAGGAGCCGCACGAGCGTGTCGGTGACCTGCTGCGGTTGCCCCTCTTGCCAGCCTCCTCTCTCTCCTTCTCCATCTGCTCTTTGACTTTGTCCAGCACGGAAGAGACACACTGCTGCGCCCGTTCATCGCCGTGGAACTCCGAACGTAGTCCATCTCCCACTCGGGCGAGGGCGTTGCCGACTCCCTCCATGTGTTCGTCCTGCTGGTCCTCGTCGATCTCGATGTCCGTTGCGTGCCCTCCACTGCCTCGGCCGCGAGCAGCATCAGCACGAGCTGCACGGCGACTCTCAGCACTGGCGGCATTCTCCACTTCACCACGCCTTTCCCGCTTCGCCCTCGGCTGGCCGCCCCCAGCGGGCCCTGGGCTGCCTGGGGCTGCGCCGCCTGCGGCTGTGGCGGCGGCCGCGGCAGAGGGCACCTTCGCCTCCGCCGCTGCCACCGCCGCCTCCAGCGTCTCGCGCATCGTGTCGAAGGCCTTGCGCAATCCCTCGCCCGCCTCCCCCTCGGGGAGGGCTCCGACGAAGGCGTCGAGCGCCTGCTGCAGGGGCTGGGCGAGAGACACTGGCGGCGCCGCCCGCCCTTCGCCCGCACCGCCCTGCGCGCCCAGCGAGAGCCCGCGGGCCTTCGCGTCCTCGAGCTGCTTCTGGACGGTGTCCAGCTCCTCCTGCGCCACGATGGCGGCCTTGACCGCCTCCTCGGCCTTCGACTGCATGCGCGCCACCTTCTGCTTGAGGTGCACCATCTGCTGGCTGTACTTCCCAATGAGCGTGTTGATCTGCGCGGCCTCCGCCTTGGCCCCAGATAGGCCATAGTTCTGGAGCGCGCGCTGGTGCATGAGTGAATCCCTCTGGTGTCGTGGGATGGACTGCGAGGCAAGCGCGAACTGCTCCTCCGAGAGATTGAGCCACAAAGACTTCTCCTCGGCCGTGAGCTCACGCTTGGGAGGGGGAGACGCCTTGCCTCCTCCCCCCGCACCTCCACCGCCACCACCTCCTTTCCCTCTGAAAACGTTCTCCTTGCCGCCGCCGCCTCCAGGGATGAAGGCTCCGCCGCCTTTACCCCCTTTGCCGCCGCCGCCGAACCCACCCATGCCCCACCACGGATTACCCCAGGAGAACTGGACCTGCGGGATGGGGCCTTGAGGGTTCCGTCCGTTGCAGCCTGCCTGCTTGCAAGTGCCACGGTGCCCGAAGTTGTGGAAGCCACAGGTCCCGCACGTCCATGCCGGCGCCATGGCCGCGTCTCAGCACGAAGGGACCTCGCTCGCAAATCACGGCGGCTCGGGCAGCTCGCCGTGGGTTCGAAGAAAAACCTCGGCCTCCTGACGGCCTCGAGAGTGGCCACGGATTGCCAAGGCTAATCGCTGATTCTCGGGCGTCTATAGCCCTTCACAACGTTTAACCTTGAGCCAAAATGGCTACGGATCCTCCTCCTCCTCCTCCTCCTCCTCCTCCTCCTCCTCCTCCTCCTCCTCCTCCTCCCTCCTCCCTCCTCCCTCCTCCCTCCTCCCTCCTCCCTCCTCCCTCCTCCCTCCTCCCTCCTCCCTCCTCCCTCGTCCTCTCCTCACCCCTCCTCCCTCACGTACGTGACAGCCGGGGCTCTCGGTGTCAGTGCCGCAAGGCGTTTTGGATCATTGCTTCGCGTGAGCTTGTGGAGCCCAGGGGAAAAACGACATTTGCAGCAGCATTCGCCATAGTGGAGGCTACGCCTTGCTGTCTTCGCCCTGCCCTCCGCCCAAGCTGCCTCGACTCTCACGCTCTCCTACTGAGCGGCCCCTCTCAAGCTAGGGGTGAGAGATAGACGTAACGGGACGAGCATGACACGCATCATCGAGCCCAAAGCTCAGCTTTTCACAGCTAGGCCCCAGGTGCTTCAAAGCACGTTCCAACCAATACGAAAAGACCGTCGGCCTTCGGACATTGATGTTGGTGTTCCCGCACGTCCCAACAAATCACCGTGCTTTCTCCCCTCCTCTCCCTCTCCCCATCCCCATCCTCATTCTTTCCTCTTCCTCACGGCCTCTACCGTTGCCCTCTATCTAATTAGCTCCTGCTCCTGGCTGCCAACGGGCGGGAGGGTCATAAGTGATGCTGAGACCGGAAGCCGCCGCAAACGGAAGCACGGCACACCAGTCACGCCGCTGTCCGCTCGTCATGGACCCCTCCTGATCCGTTTCCTCCTTGTCCTCCTCCTCCTCGTCCTCCTACTCCCCCTTATCCACTCCTCTACCTTGTGAACAACTCCTGCTCGCGGCAACACCTGACGCGTCGATAGGGCAGGCCTGGCGTTCCGTCTTGGAGTTCCCGCAGATGCACGGACATGGCGCGGGTAGTGTTCTAAATGTGGCTCTCGCCAGGGTGGCACGCACATTCGTCTTACAAGTCCCTACCAGCTTCACAAGGCGTTATCAATTCGACGTAGCGTCGTCTCGAAGGTTCCCGCAAGCGAGCTACGTGGACGGAGGAGGGTACTGTCTATACGTCCATGTGTGTATGTATCCCGCCCTAGCGCCGCGCACGGTGATTCTGAAAATATTGCAACACTTACGCGGATGAAAGGCGAATTGTGTTCAACATGTACAAATCGTCTTCGCTCCACGCACATTTTCCGTAGGAGGCTGCACATCTGAGTGACGGTTCCTTTGCGAATGCGTTTGTGGTGCTGTTGAATGACTACCCCGCCTGGTGGCGTAGCGGCTGCCACAGGGGGCCTAGTGAGGATTCTGCTGCGGATTGGGCCATGTGACGTGAGGTGTATGAGGTACGTCTTTCCAAATCAATACTCGCACAAATCGTGACCTTGAGCCAAAACGGTTACGAATGGCAGAGTGGCCCAAAAGCAAAGTCAGAAAAGACTATGGATGCCGGTCGACGACTCAGGAACACCGAGGTCCGGACGACGACCGTAGGTACCAGTGAACGACACAGGCACGTCGAGTAAGCGAAGTTGCGACTGGCGCAGCACAGAGATTGCACCACGACCCGACACATGAGATTACGCAATACCGGCCCGCAAGTATACGCGGAGCTACGGCACGCGGAAGTAGTGGCAACAAGAACTACTACACCGAGCCCACTCCCGAAGCGCGAAATTGGCTTCATCAATTTATCCAGAAAGGTGTTGACAAGGCTTCCCCGACCCGGCGCCCACCCCGCGACACGGCCCGGACCCGGCCCGGACCCGGCCCAGACCCGGCCTGGACCCCAGCCCGGACACAGCCCGGACCCGGCCCGGACCCGGCCCGGACTGACGTGGCCTGGACCCGGCCCGGACTTGGCCTGGACCCGGCCCAGCACCGGCCCGGGCCCGGACCCGGCCCGGACCCGGCCCGGACCCGGCCCGGACCCGGCCCGGCCCGGACCCGGGCCGGACCCGGCCCGGACCCGGCCCGGACCCAGACCCGCGGACCCGGCCTGGACCCGGACCCGGCCCGGACCCGGGCCGGACCCGGACCCAGCCTGGACCTGGCCCGGACCCGGCCCGGACCCGGCCCGGACCCGGCCCGGACCCGGACCCGGCCCGGACCGGGCCCAGCCCGGAGCCGGCCCTGACCCGGACCCGGCCCGGGCTTGGCCTGGACCCGGCCAGGACCTGGCCATCACGATGACGATGATGATGAGAAGGGTGATGATATGACGACGATGGCGATGACGATAGCGATGTAGATGACGATGATGACGATGATGATGATGATGATGATGATGATGATGATGATGATGATGATGATGATGATGATGATGATGATGATGATGATGATGATGACGATGACGATGACGATGCCGATGATGACGATGGTGATGGTGAGAAGGATCATGATGGTGATTATGCCGATGATCATGATGAGAAGGATGATGATGGTGATTATGCCGATGATCATGATGAGAAGGGTGATGAATATGATGATGATGATGATGATGATGATGATGATGATGATGATGATGATGATGATGATGATGATGATGATGATGATGATGACGATGAAGATAGTGATGACGGCACTGATGATGATGTTGCTGATGATGGTCACGATGCTGTGGGATTTGTGGACAGCAGCGGGAAAGGCGGTGGTGATGACGGCGATAATGATGATCATGGCTGTGGTGATGATGATTCTAACGGTGATGATGGTTTCAAACATGAAGGAGATGAGACGGAGAAGCAAGACGTGGTAGAGGAGGAGGAGGAGGAGAAGGATCACGAGACGCAGACGGGGAGGGCTGGGGGATCAGGAGAAGGACGAGGGTTGGACGGGAAAAGGAAGACGAGGAGGAGGAGGAGGAGGAGGAGGAGAACGATGGGGGCGAAGGCGATTTTGTTAGCGACCAGGATGACGACGGGGATGAATCATTCATACAGGAGTCTGTCGAGCTTCCGCTCTTTGGACCCTCTTGGGGGCCTTTTTGGAGCCCTCTTTGGGCCTTCATGGGCCATACTGGGGCATCCCATGTGCGGTTTTCGAAGTGCTCCAGCCCATTTCCCATGAGGCATCTTCGGACCTCTGGGTTCCGAGACGTTTTGATTTGAGTTGGTCTGCCCGGTTCCGCCTGAGACGTCCTCGCAATTTCAGCCTCAAGATTTGCTCTCTCACGAGGACCCGGCCACAGGTACACCATGGGACGTTCGTGGCATCTTCCGCCTGTGCACCCCCGCCTGTTTCGATAGCCTCCTCGCCCTCCCCTTCCCCTCACCCCCGTGCTCATTTACCCCGTCATATTCCCCCTCCCCGTCATCCCTCCTCCCTCTTGCCATTCATTGCCACTCTTCCCTTGCTCATCTTCCTTCTTCTCCCTATCCTGCCTTGCTCCCCCATTTCCTCCACTCCCTCTCCTTCCGCAGCCTCCCGAGATCAATCATCCCTCGGCACGCGCTTGGCCCATGACGGACCCTCCTAAGAAGAGCAAGCGCTACAGGGATAAGGTCATCGCAAACAAGTTGCGCAAAAGGGAATAGCGTGCACGCAAGTTCGCTCAGAGCGCTCGGGTGGTCGGCCTGCTCAAGACAACCCGGATCCAAGTCAAGAAAGAACACGCCCAGAAAATATCGGCCTTGACCGAGCAGCTGAGGGCGAAAACCCTGGAGTGCAACAAGTACGCCAAAGAGAACGGGAGGCCGGGCGGGGCAACGCTTACCCACTCCCGCCCTGTTCGCTCCAGTTGCTCAGTCCCGCGGGGGCCCCCGTGCCCTTGCCGCGGACCGAGCAGCAGGGAACGGCGGCGGGCAATGGATGTGTTCGCCCGCCCGTAGGCTTCGGAACCTTGGCGCCAAAGTGGACCGCCTGAGCGAGGAGAAGAGGAACCTGCAGAGGGCCCTCGCCTGCCGAACGACAGGAGACAACCGAGCCACCAACCAACTACAACGGCAACTTCAAAAACTCACCGAACAGAACGCCGAACTGCAGACCGCCGCCCAGGACTTGAAGACCACCGTCCAGGACTTGAAGAGCGAGCTCAAGACTTCGAAGAAACGCGACCACGAGCTCTGGCACCACAGGATGTTCACGTCCTGGATCATGGGGAAGGCGAGCCCCGGCACCCTGAAGTTCCTCAAATACCACTGGTGGAAGGCCCCTGACCGGCGGGGCCCCCCGGACGGGGGCTGGGGCGGCGGCCAGTAGCCCAGCCGCGGACGCGCGGGGGAAACGGCAAGCCAAAAAACGCTTCTCTCTGCCGCCCGGGAAAGGGGCGGGGGCAGCAGGGCAGGAAGGCGGCAGACGGGCACGACGAACGCCTTCAAGGCCGCAGATTTATTCGCGAGCTTGCTTGCGCTTGGGACGCCGCCCAACTCCCCGCGCCGACCCTGGGCTGGTTCGCGGCCCCACGTGGGCCGGGCGCCGGCTGGTCGTGGCCTGATTCCGCGCCGGATTCGCCCCAGCCCGCGGCCCGCCCCCGACCCGCGTGTGGACCCGTTTTTCGCCGGCCGATAATCCAGCCTGTGCCCTGCGCGGAGCCCAGTCAGTCTTCGGTCGGCTTTATAGCCCGGCCGCCCTCTGGCCAGCGAGGGGCCGCCCTCCGCGACCCCCGCGCGCCGCCCTCGGCCAGCCCACCAAAGCCTGCCCCTGGCCGGCTTCCAGCCGGCCCTCGGCCGGCCGGA